ATTTTATTATTAAAAGTAACAAAAGGAAGCCAGTAGAATGTCATGTCTTAAAAGGCCCGAGTAACAGAGAGTGCCCATTCAGATGAGTTAATGAGTTTACGCTAGAATTAACCGGTGCACCAGCAGATGGTTAAGACTTGGTAGCTTCTACATTGTGGAAGATTTGGTAACATGTTAGTTTTTAAACGCAACGTTAAGAACAGAGAATATTTTTTTTTATTGGTTAATGTCAGCTGAAGTAGTTGCCAACTTTTAAGTGGGGAAATGTCACTTACTACCATGCACCATTGTAAAATGCATGAGTCAGACCATTGGAAAATAACCAAGCGCTGATGTGCTGTGTACATAATAACAGCAGTATATGGCAGCATTCAAGCCCCAACATAATTTTTTTACCTTATTTTGATTGTGTTTGTTTCAGCTGTGCGTGTATCGTTGGCTGCTTGGTAACAGATATGATGCAATTTTTAGGGTTTAGGGTTTGCTAACTTGAGAACGTGCTATTAGATAAGATAAAATTCCTCAATTAAAGAAAGATTTGCTTCTGTAATAAAATTTTTTGAAAAAAAGACTTCCACCAAATCGTTCAGGCACACCACTGTTATACATTTCTGTAAGTATATTTAAAGGCTATATGTAGTGTTTTTGTTTTTCCTTGTTTTTTATTTTTTTACGAAAACCTTTTTGGTTTTATAGCCTTCATCTTGTAATTGGAGGTCGGGATTATTGTACCCCATGGGAGCCTCAATAGCAACCAGAACAGATTCTCAATTTTGGTGTTACAGATGGGTGGTTAATAAAAACTGTCTGCAGTGTCTGATAAGGGTTTGTGGATCTACCCTGTAGCTATTTTATCTAAGAAAGCTTATTCCCTAGGGTCAAAGGGCAATGATGATGTAAAAGGCCAGCATGATATGTAGTATAGCATTCTGCTTTTAGCATAGGTAAGGTTTTCTAGCTTTTTACTGTATTCACTTCTTATTATTTTACTATACTTACTATTATCTTATTATAACTACTAAGAACATGCTGTTGATTAGGAATGAGCATAACTGTCAAACTGTTATTCAGATGTGTTGTGTCACCCACAGTCTTGCAGAAAGGGGTCTTAAAAAAAATGTAATGCAGAGGTCAGTTTTTGGCTCTTGCAGATAAGTGCATTTGTGCATGTGCAAAGTAGGTCAAAGTGTTTGAAGCTCGACTAGTTCTAAAGGCTACAAAATGAACAGCATGTTGGTTTTACTTTGGCATGTGATTTAGCTTATGTTCTATTGGATTTGAAGGAAAAACGCTGGTCACACAGCACAGAATTTACTGCAGAAAATGAAGGTATGATACAGCATGCTGTGCCCTTGAGACAGGGTGTGTTAAAGCTACACTGCCATCAGAAAATAGGTTTCATACCTCCCAGACAGGGAGCTTTTTTTCACACATATGTTGGTTGAGAGTGGGACTGTGAAAAAAGGAAAACAAAGATCTAGGACAGAAGGAACTTGCTAACATGGGAGATGGGGACAGTCCTGTAAATGTCAAGGTCTCTATTTTTCCATGCCTCAACACTTTTGTTACCACTTTTTCCTTTCGTATTTTCATTCTGATATCTCAGCATTCTGTTATTTATTTTATTTGTAGTGTTGCAGTGCTTTTGACAAATGTAAGGTTACAGAAAAGCCATTTCTTTTTATACATGGAACGATACTTGCTTGGTAGGGCTGTGCAAAATAACTACTGCCTCCTCTGGTAAGTAGGCTTTTCTTTGGTTCTGATTCTAGCCTACTAGAAGATGCTTTCAGCACAGTGTCCTTGTCATTCAAGTGTTCTTGCTGTAAGGTGCATTTTTGTCCAACTGTAACTTTTTTTTTTAAATGGATGCACAAATAAGGGAATTGTGGGTCAATTTTGGGTGTTTTTCCATGTACATATCTGCTGATGCTCATATTTATAAAATGGAGAAACTGGGAAAAGATTTACCTTTAGCATTGCAATGAAATGTCTTTATTTGAAGAGTATCATAAATGAGGTAAAAAAAAAATAAAATGCAGATGTTTTAGCATTTCTGGAAACACACCATCAAACATTGATCAAATCTAAACATCTGTCCAATGCCAGTACTTTTTTAAATCAAATATCTGCTAATTCCAGTTGAGATGTCAACTAAAACTGCGGTTAACTAGTACAACACTGGATGCTGATGAGGACTCGTCGCCTTACACAAAGTATTTTCTCCTCATTGGACGATGTTCCATGTTAGTTTGTCAAAGACTTTCTGGACCTGACTAACATCGACTGAAAGTTTGACGTGCTACATCAGCCTTCTCAATCCTTGGCAATGCATTCATATTAAAGCACTCGTTTCAGAGTGGCAAACTTTAATATACAAACTGTTACTACTGTACTCAATTGTTAGTCTGTATTTCCTCTGTTTATTGTGCTCAAATAGAATGAATACCTGAATCGCGATCTCAGTATTTGAATACTAGCTTTTCAAACAGCTAACTGGAACTTGTGTAGCCATTCACATACGTAATACCGATATGATTCTGATATCATTGTGCATCACTACTTGCAGTTGAAGTCACTCACTGCTGTTCAGGTTCAGCATTAATAAAGGCACATCATTGAGTTCTGTGTTGATCATATTGGTAGTTCTGGAATTGCCTGTCTTGGCTCCTGCATGCTTCCTGAATCATTTCAGTGCTGTATTTCGTTCATTCCCCTGACACAGAAGACAAATTTATTACACAGTGAAATGGGGTGTGTAAATCCTTGTGCATCCTGCCCATTCGAAACTCCCCGAGATCTCTCTTAAGTGGAACTATGCGGTGTGTTTCATGTCCTCACATTTTTATTGGGTGTAGCCTATCCCTTCTGCTGCACATGATGAATGCCTTATGTCATCTGAATCTTTACTGTTATGAGAATGCCGAACACAATGGGCTGGCTCCGCTGTCTCGGCCTGGGGTGACTGGCGCATATTAAAGAATCGGGCTGTGAATGGGAGAAAAGCTTTGGAGCCGTAATCCAACCTCTGACGACACTCTGGCTGCCATTCTTGTTCCTCTGCCCGGCACAATAGAGCTCCAGTGACAGGTATTGTGGCTTGAGCTTAAGCCTAGGGTGGAGAGGCAGGGGATATTGAAATCCTGGAATCACTGGGGGCATCATCCAGACTATCCCTTGTGGAATTTGGCCCAGCTTCGTTTTGCTTCATAAATCCCAAGCGCTCCCTGCCACATGCAGCCCTAGCCACCATACGCCTCTAAAATTCCTGGTGGTGATACTGGATCACGCAAACTGACTACAACACCAACAGCTGTGTTTCAGTGTTGTGGGGGGGGGGCGTATTCCCGTCTCTCTTTTGAAGTGATAAAATGGCTTTCTCGGAGGCTCCCCTCCCCCCTCCCCCCCAACCACCATCTTTTTTGAGTTGTACTTTTGTGCTTCTGCTTTGCTTTGGTATTCATGCATTTTTCTCTCAGTACCTGAAACGCTTTGATTCTTTGTTCCACTCTCCCTTTTCACGTAACCCACACATTACGTGGATCTCTTGATGCCTTTGAAAGTGGACCTGTATTCCACCCCAGACACGCCATGTCTTGTCGCTTTGCTTCAGTCTTTGCCTCAGCAGCCCTCTGCACCATTGTCAACCACTTCCCGTACTTAAATGTCCATGCGGGCCAGTGCGACAACCATGTATGTGCAGAGCTTTAATTCACTGAAAAGGCCTTTATTAAATCAGACAAAAACTAAAATGACTGTAGACATCAAGGGAGCCAAAGTTGCTGAAAGTCCATACAGCGCATGTTTACTTATGCCTTTACTTTCTGATCTGAAAAGGGCCAATAGTTACTGACTTAAACATTTGCTGAGTTTTAGAATTCCCTTTCATTCTTCATTTTCCCACAAACCAGGGTATACATAATTCAGCTGCTCTTAAGTTGCACAGGCAGGTTCAGGTAGAACGGCCTGCAGCAGAAGCCTGGCCCTGATGAGAAGAAAGCAGAAAGGGTTTCCAGGAATTTGGCACATGATCACATCAAATTCCCTTTTATAGCAGCTCATTTCTGTCTTCTCCTTTCGTACTGTGGTGTCCCCCACCCTGTCCAGCCCTAAATATGCCTTATGCCCTCTCAGGGGCCTTTCCATTTCACCAAGTTTGTTCCTTTCGTCAGTGTTAATGTAAATCCTCTTCAGTCACTCACCTGAACCACATTTTATATTGAATGCCTCATTTGAGATGAAAAGATGGAATGACTTTTGCACTTTGAAGTGCTTGAAGGAGAACGAAGATCACTTTTAAAGCCTTGGCTAATCAATGCAAGCCGCCACCATTATCCTGTAATCCATGCATCGCCTTTGTAAATTCCTCCCTAGATCCTCTTGGTATTCAGTGAAGGGAGCCATCCTCTACCGTGTTCTCACGGCATCGCTTCTTCAGCATTGGGATGAGTTTGGTTTTTAGTAGTCATCTGACGGAGAGGAAAAAAATGCCTGCGTATTGTGTAGTGCTTGAAACTGTGGCAACTTAGCAATGAGGTATTAGCCTAGTAAAATTAGCCCATTTTTTTGTAACTCACGGCAGTTGTCACAATTAAGGGCAGCTAATGAATGAATCGAGTCATTAATAGTTGGGGTGAATATGCTAGCAAACAAAACGTTTTGGTTTCTAGTAAATAATGATGAAAACAAGAAATAAATAAATAAAAACATTCTAATCCTCTCATAATGTGCTGTTGTGATGAACTGGCTCTTTGTTACTACATTGTTAAACAATAACTAGAGTAAAAGAAGCATTTTCCAGGACACTTTTATTTGTGCTTAATTTGTCCTAGTTATAGTTTATAATGTAGTAAAGCAGCCTGTTAATCACCAAACACTACCTTGTTAGGCTTAATAAGCGCATTACAAGAGCATTATAATGTGTCCTTATGTTGAAATGTTACCAAATATCTTTCCCTGCTTTTAACTGTTTGCTCTGTTTGTGTTTTTCTCCCCTCTAGACTACATGAAAAGCTTGGCTAGATTACTTCGGGCATGACCCGTCTGGAGAAATTGTCTGTGCAAGAACAGTTTGCCCTTCAGAAGTCATCTTCACCCTACCTCCAGGCCATCTTCTTTTCCACACTGGCTCTGAAGATAAGGACTTAGAGAGGGCAAAGCAGGAGGGGTGTCAGGGTGTTGGGCAGGGGGCCGCTGGCGCACGAGGGAGGGGCAGCGCACATCTCTGGAGGTGAGTGGGAGCCCACCCTCGCACATGCCGTCCCCTGCCCACACCGGTCCTGCCGCCCTCTGCAATGGTGACATGACAGCAGACGCCGCGGAGGACCTCAGCTTCACATTGCCATTTTTTTCACTGTCTTATCTGACCCATACAATAGACATTGTAAATCGCTTTTGAACAGACGACAGTGTGTATATACTTATCCGAGTGGCTGCAGGGTGATGATGCTGGTGTGTGGGCGCATGAGGCGGCTCTACCGGCAGCTCACGCTGCAGACCAGCCTTCTGCTGCTCTTCCTCTTCTGCATGGTCAGTGTACTCATCTCAGCCTACTTCCTGTATGGGGTCAAACGGGAGCTGGAGCCGGCAGGGGTCGGTGGGGTGGAGGGTGCGGAGGAGGGCACCGCCAACTGGGAGGATCCACAAGCAACCCCCTCCCCACCCTCAGCCAGGGTTCTTCCCGCAAGAACTGCCAAACCTGCAGACACGTCTCGCACAGACCCTGTGGTGCTGGTATTTGTGGAGAGCCTGTACTCTCAGCTGGGTCAAGACATCGTGGCCATCCTGGAGTCGGGCCGCTTCCGCTACCAAACTGAGATCGCCCCTGGCAAGGGCGACATGCCCACCCTTACGGACAAGAACCGTGGCCGCTTCACACTGGTCATCTACGAAAATATCCTCAAATATGTCAACCTGGATGCCTGGAACAGAGAACTGCTCGACAAGTACTGTGTGGAGTACGGAGTGGGCATCATTGGCTTCTTTAAGGTGGGACCTTTTACCATCATATTACAAATGCTACATTGATTTGTAAGAATGCTTATTGCAATAGTTAGATGAAAAATCATTGCCTTATTCTGTTCAGTATTGCCTTACTCCACTCCACTTACTTACTGGAAGCTTATACCTCACCACCTAGCATCATGCAGGCTGCAATTTTCTAAATTTCTTTGTAATTCAGTCAATGAGAAAGTTATTCAGTGTGCTTTGAGTTAAAATGGTGCATTGTAGAGAAACTTGATTCCTTTGCAATGGTGAATCAGGGGTCACAATGTCTGTAACAAAAATAGAGATTATTCACAGTCCAAAATGTCCTGTGAACCTACACGTGTCTCATGAGTTTTTAAAGATGATGCTAATGATGGAAAAATAGTGGAAAATCTAAAAAGATTTCTTTGAGGATCATTTTGCCCTAAAGCACCTTGCATGTACCTCTCCACCATGAATGGATTTTGAAAATGTTTTAGACCAAAATCTTATCGCATAACTATCATAAAACAGTGTCATCAAGTAGCATGTTTGTAACCATTTCACGTAGTAAGTTTCTAAGGTAACTTGGATACATTAAACACTTTGGACATTTGGTTCCTATCAGAACCACTGTGTACATCTCTGACTCGGTGAGTTTCTCTAGAATGTTTTGCATCAGCCTACTCTGAATGACTGTGTTTATCTTAACCATTTAGTGCAGAAGTGTTGAAAAAATCAGTTGAACTCCTCTTGAATCATGACTCAAACTGCGTCAAGTTCTTAAATACACTTACAAATGCAGGGATACAGTGGCTTCTGAGACTTTGGCATGCTGTTATCTGTAGAAATGGATGAAATCGTGTCTTACAGGTATAAACTGTACAAGCAGCCATTTTGATAGCATCGAATTGACAGCACCTGACTGTATAACGTTGACCTGAAATACACATTTATGTATTATTCTACACCTTGTAGTGATAACATGACAAATGTACAATGTTTGTTACCACCAAGTAACTCCTCAGCTTTATCCACAGTACATCAGTTAAAGGAGGATTTATTTTTACAGAAGCGTCTCTGCCTTCAGATCTGTATCAGTGAAATCCACTGATCCCCCTCTGCTGTGTTGGCAGTGTCTGACATTTTTGTAGTGAAAGTTGATGACTGTGTGTGGCCATAGGCCTGTTTTTAATCACTTCATTATCTGGAGGGGTAGCACATGTGAATCACTCCAGACTGCATATAGTCATTGTTTTTTTTTTAAAGGTTGCAGTAGTGCCACTGCAACACTGATAAACGTCTTTTAGCTTTTTCAGTTTGAAATTTGCTCTTTCATTTTTTTGATGGCTCTAAGAATGGTAGATAGGCCGCCAGCCAGAAGCTGCCATGACAGCATTTACAATGCTTGAGACAACGGTCACATTTGTGTGTGTGTGTACTCCGAAATGAAGAGGCCTCTTAATTCATATTTTATAAAAAGAAATGCATCAACATCTTCCATGCCTAGTACATCAATTGATGCAACAGAAAATGGACCAGCGCAGGCAAGTGAGGCTCTATTATGCACAGAATGGCTAGCAAGTTTTCTCCTTGCTTTGAGTACACTAGAAAACAAAAGGAAATTAATATTTAGAGCCAGTGCAGTTGATACTAAATACTTTTTTACTTAATTTAAAACCTCACTATCCTCACTGTCTGAAATAAAAGTTTGATGTGGTTTTTAAATACTGTTGAAGTTTCAAAACATACCCTTTGCTCCCCAGTCTATAGAGTCCATATAGTCAGTATGTGGAAACAAAGCTGCAAAAACAGCCTTGTGTATTTCTGTTTTCATGAAGTCATGAAAACCAATAATGTGTTTACATATTTCCACCTAATTAGCCTAAAGCAGTTTAGCCCAACTCATACACACTGAAGTTATGAAGATTGTTTCAGCCCAGACTGTCTTTTGAATGAGGCATAATACTTGACAGCCAGTAAAAGGGGTTAAAAATGATTATATCAAAAAGAATTGTGAAAAGTGGACTTCAGGGGAAAAAATAAAATGAAGAAAAATGTATGATATGAGCCTTTCAAACACAGCTCCCCTCTTTATTTTTATTGTTATTTTTATTGTTTATCCAGCAGTTAACCTGCAGCTGATTTTCTCAGCCAGAACAGAAACGAGGGGACGTGTTTTAAAAGCATCATCATGCACTTGTTGTTCTCTTGATGCATGATGCTCAGAGAGCTTTAAAGCTAATTCAGTTACATTTTACCAGTGTTCACAAAGCTGCATGATGCCTACATAAGCCCTTCATGACAACTGACGTAGACCTACATGAACACCTACAAAACGCATTGCAACAGGTATCATTTGTCATAAAGATTTCAGTTACTAACTTTAATGTCAAGTTGACACAGCATCTGTGTCAGGTGACATAACATCTATGTCCGGTGACAGATTTTTTTTCTGACATGTCATGACACTTTCTGGGGTGAAATGACAGACTATAGCTCACTTGATGCTGATTTGCATCTTGGCAAGTCAAGCTAGCTGAACAAAAGTATTTTTGGTGACACTTGGGTAAGGTGAGTTTCATTTTACCATTTATAACATTAACCTACGTCACATCATCAGCATTATACTGTGTTATACACTAAGCTACAAAGTCAGTTGTTATAACATGCTATGTCATTTCACCCAAAACAGTCGACAACCTAATGTCAGAAAAAAATATCAGAGTTGACAAAAGCCGCATTTATGACAGACGGCGCTTACTGGAATAAGCCTTCACAAACGTTTATGCAGGTTTGTCAATTGCCGTGGCAAGCCTATAGGTGTCATGTAGGCTTACAGTAAAGTTTTACCACTAGTTCTTCTATTGAAATTGATGAGGACATGCATCCAAAAAATGGCCAGTTTTTTTTTATTTTAGTTGCTCTATATTATGATTTTATGGTGTAAATATTCATACCAGCTACACATTGAGATTTTATGATGTAATTTTATTACTGTTTTGCAGTTTTATATATGAATATATAGAGCCATTAAATATATGAGCCATTTTATGGTGTAAAAATGTGAGCCGTATGCCTTGGGCAGCTATATAGTCAGTCAATATTTGAGATGGTTAAGAGCTTGTATGTTTCCTAACACTGAGTTACTGTAACCTGCAGATTGTGAGCTTATGTTAAAGAGCAATTAAATAACATTTTCCTTCTTGCCTGAAAACTTTGTCAAATGAAAAATTAGCCAAAACAACTGTTATTCAGCCAATTTTTTTGTAATAAAATTAGAATTTGATCAGCACGGTTTTAATTTCTATGTAAGGCTTTGTTTCTACATCACTGATAGAAGTATCTCATCTCTGGGTTCCTCGCTGGCTGGCACTGCTGCTGCTTTCTTTGAGGATGTTAGCCTCTCTGCCTTTCCAGGCTGTAAGGCCTCAGTGAGTGAAAGCTCTGAACATTTCTGATGATAGAGCCTAGAGGTGCATGGCTCAGAAGACTGAAACAGTTCCCTGTGAGGCGGACAGTGGCTGCAGGTCCCTGTCTCTCACTCCAGTAATGTGGCGTGCCTAATTTCTTCCCCACCAAGTCTAGACTTGCACCTGTCAGGGCTACAGCTTAGTCACAAGCGCCCTCATCTCCCCAGAGTGTGGAGCTCTGGCTGCAAGCACGCATTACCATGGAGGACACTAGCGATTCAGCTTGTAATTACACATGGCTGTATCAACTCATTTAAGCCCCTCTTCGCCTTCCCATTAGTCCTCCTGCTTAATCCTGTATCTGTGTTGTTAACGTGTAATTGGAATAAACCCTCCTCTCTTAGCCAGCACTTGGGTCAGCATAATCTTCTGAGGCTATATTAAGCGCACAGCTTTCCGTGGGTCTTCCTCCGTTCTCCTCACTCTTTTGTGGCCTTTTAGGCCAATTATCAAACATTTTGTATGGATTGCTCTTTGACATACAGGACTAAATGGAGATGGGGAATCTGAAGTGGAGAAGCAGTAAAGTAGGAATGTTAGTAGACTGGACAAAGTGGAAGGAATGATTAGAAAGTGATGGAGCAAGAAGTGTGTTTGTTAGGGAACGTGTATTGTGATATGCTTCCATCACCACCTTTTTTTTTTCCTTTTTAGTCATCACTCTAAAAATTTTAAATGAGAATTTCTTCTCCTAGATATTATAAATATACAATATCTATGATACCTAGGATATGTAATTATATATTTGCACAGTCTTGATAAACTCTTGATAAAACCAAAGTTATTTACAGCTACAGCAGTGCCATGGATTTGGTTATCAGTGATGTACGTCTCTGAAGTATCGTTTACAAGCAAAACATACTGCTGTGGATAAGCCAATAAGCAGCAAACTAACAAAAATAACAGCAAAGTAGAAAGCTACAGTTCTCCTCAAAAACAAAACAACGCAGTGGTATGAGGGCAGGGGGCTACAATCGCAGAGCAGTGGCTCTTGCTGAATGTCACTGATGGAAATTGAAAATTGTGTTCATCTTATTTTCATGCTCACTCTGCATTCACATGATTTTCATGTTCAGTTCCTCTGAAGCCTGCGTTCACATGATGAAAATAATGCTAACAAATTAATAAAAGTAGTAAATACATTCTGATGAAGCTCACGTCCACTTGGGTTAACAAAAAACACTACTTTTTAAATGGAAAAATCTGTCTTTAGGATCAAATTTGGGCAAATAAAACAAATACATTGAGTTATGATTAACTGCACAAAATAATGTGATATTTTAATTTAGTTTGACAACCCAAGTAAACATACATAACTGATATGTAAGATATAAAGTTATGACCGTGAAGAGTTAAATTGTGGGCTAACATATGGACCCTTAAGGTTTAAGGAGTAATAAGATCTGTGAAAGAACTCACATTTCGGTGGCTCTGTGTAAGCCAATGCTCATTGTCTTCATTGTACATAAAGTGCAGTTTATCATCATTTGATCCACCCTCACACGGTCTGCTGGCCAGAGCGGGTTAGCAGAATGTGAACGAGTGGCGAATACAGAAGCATCCTAAGACTTTCAGCCTCAGGGGTACCAGTGAACCTCATTTAAGAGGAAATACCGTTTAGCTGCAGTTTGATGAATGAATGAAGAAAAATTTCAACTTTTTTGTACTTTGCTAAACTTGTTCCATTAATGAAAGTGAACTCTTTCTCTCTCTTTTCTTTCTTCCTCCTTTGTCCAATGCTCTTCTAAAGGCCAATGAGAACAGTTTGCAGAGTGCCCAACTGAAGGGTTTCCCCCTCTTCTTACACTCTAACCTGGGCCTGAGAGACTGCAGTGTTAACCCCAAGTCCCCCCTGCTTCTAATCACCAAAGCCCTTGAGGTAGAGCGCGGACCCCTGCCCGGGGACAACTGGACTGTCTTCCAGTCCAACCACTCCACCTATGAGCCTGTGCTGTTGGCCCGAGGCCGGGCGGCCGAAGCCGGGGGTCCACCTGGTCCCTTGCATGCAGCAGTGGTCCAGGACCTGGGGCTTCATGACGGCATCCAGAGAGTGTTATTCGGGAACAACTTGAACTTCTGGCTGCACAAGCTGGTGCTGGTGGATGCGGTCAGCTTCTTGACAGGCAAGCGGCTGTCTCTAGCACTGGAACGCTACATTCTGGTGGACATTGATGACATCTTTGTGGGCAAGGAGGGCACACGAATGAAAGTTTCTGACGTGAAGGTGGGTATCAGCATTCCACGGGATGAACGTGGTTATATGAATATGATTTTTGTCTTTGTTTACTTAATTCAAATAAGGCAAGAGTAATTTGGAATAGTATTAGGTGTTATGCTGTGAACAGTGGCACGTGTGAGCATATGGGAGAATGGCATATGTTGGAGCTATATGTCTGTAATGGCACTTATGATTTGAAAGAAAGAGAGATGATGATCTTACATCATCCTGAAATCAGCACCGCATATAATTGTTACTAATCCTAATAGTTGTCATTTGCAATTTTGAATTAAATATTAATACTTCTGTTAATGTAGCTCAAATTGACCCTTCATTAAATTAATGTGTGTAATATTTTTTTCATTTAAGTCATTTAGTGTTAGTTTCTAAAAGTGTTTCCTTATCAAAAGCAGCACTGTGCAAAAGCAGGGCCATAACCATAAACCACACTGACAGATATACTTACTACACCAAATGCCAGTTCCTGATCTGTTTTTCACCCTTGCTTCCTTTTTCTATTTTCCTATAATGCTTATGTACCTATTTTGTTTGTTTATTTCCCCCCATTTCTTCCATAAAATGTTATTGCTCATTCATAAACTCTTTAAAGTCCAGTTAGGCTACTTAACTTGATTTATTTGGTTAATTATTTAAATATTGTTTATTTTAAGCTGATAATGTGTTGTATGCATAAATACTAAATCTGTTGATACTTTTACTTTTTTTGATAGTATCCTCATAACTACGGCCATGTGCAGAAAACAGATCACCCTTCATTTTTTAAATTTGAATGCATAAATACTAATAACATTAGCGTTAACTTTCTAACTAGCTTATGTCACCAGAGCAAGGTCTTTAGAAAATAATAATTCTGAAAATAGAAATCAACACCTTTACACATCATTCTAGTTTACATTCTGGTGCACCTCTTGGTGGTGATGTGTAGTACCTGGTGACTTTGTCTTGTTGGCTTCAGCTGCAAATGTTAACAAAGACAGAGGGAGACCCAAGAGTACCTACAATGTTTTATTGTCGTCTGGATCATTTGTTATTGTCATACACAGCATGCTTAAAGAACACTGACCAACTGCAGGTTTCAGTAAAAAGAGAGCTAAAATAATCCTGTTTGACTGGACTTAGTACAGCACATTATGTATAATAATGTAATATAATAATCATTGTATTCATAGTTTTTGATAGCAGTTTTTAAATGTGACTGTTCGAGAACATTTTGTCTGTGTGTAAAAATATCATGATGCATATGCGTGTTGTGACAATTTCTCCGTATCGCCCTCCCCTACGTGTTGGCACCAATCTCAAGCATAAAACTGAGTTCCAAACTTTTTCCTAACAGCAGCATGCTGAAGTCTATGACTCAAAGTCCAGTTAGGACTTTTAAAAGTAGTTTAGCTATCTTTGAATCTGCCGCATAGCAGTTCACTTTCAAAATTTCCCTGGAAATTCACAGAACAGTCATGTAACTTTGGTAAATTATGGCTGTGGCAAGGACTATTACAAGTTGGTATTATACAGTAGAACCTTAGGTCCAGTATACTGCATTTTTAATATGAATATAAAACCCCATATGGGCGAGTTGTTTGCTAGAAGGTTGTTTGCCAAAGCGTTTATGGAGGCGGGCCATAGCATCCTGCCCGGAACAGTCCTGTGCGACGAAAAACGTCGGCCTGTCCACGTGCGTTTTTCCAGCAAGTCTAAGAGGCGGTGTGAAAAATGAAAAAAAAAGAAAAACTCGCACCCCTGCCAGCAGCTCAGTACAGTAGTGTGAAAACCAAATGACATCATAGAGCTGTAGCCCCAAGAAACGGAGATGTCCTTGACAGCCTGCCCACTCTGTCCTCCTCCTTTCTTTTGTGTCTTGTTCTCTCTCTCTTCTCTTTCTTGATCTCTCTCTCTCTCTCTCTCTCTCTCTCTCTCTCTCTCTCTCTCTCTCTCTCTCCCCCCCCCCTTGTTTTGTTGTTTTCTGACTTTCTCTGCTTATCTCTCTCTTTCTCTTCTGGTCTTCTGGCTCTGATCCTAGTGCATACAGAAATAGACAAAGATACACGGGTGGGAAAAATGTTAAAAATGTACAGAGAGAAATATGTATGGAGCGCGAAAAAGAAGAGACAGGGGGAAAGGAGTGAAGACTGGGGAGACGAGGGGAAAGCAGCAGGCGCCCAAGTCTCTCTCTTTTCTCTCTTCTGCTTAAAAAGAAACTCAGAAGTAACACCCTGAAGATGGGTAAAGCTCAACCAGCGTCACCATCGATCAGCTTCTGGCCCAGATGACAGCCCCTTTGTCGCTGCTTCTCAGACCAGACGGCTTTTCAACCCTCCTGCCTCTGCTACTCTGCATCACCTACTCCAAATCCCCCCACCCCCTTTCACTCTTGCAATCTCTCTCTCTCTTCCACCACCCCCTTTTTCTTTTTTTTTTGGATGACTCTTTGTTCAAAGGGCATCCAAAAACTAGCTGCAGGCATGAATACTTCAAACCTGCACAGCTTTCACGTATTTGTTTTTGCTATTTCTTTTTTCCCCTCTTTCGCCCCCGTTTGATCCTACTCGTGGCTTTGGTGCGGCCCAATGCAAGTGTTTGAGGAAAGAAACAGGGAAAAGGGAGCAAACATAATCAAAGCCTTCCTGTCTGTCTGCAGACCTCCTCTGTGTTAAATATGAATCGGCTTTTTTGATTGAGTCACGCGAGTGGAGGAGGCAGGCAGAAAAAAACAAAAACAAACCCAGTAAACAAATCGGACGAGAGGCATATGCAAGCCTAAGACCCCCCCCACCCCACACACACATCAACTCCCAGCACAAGAGGCTAGGCTACAGCTGTGTGTTAGTCATGTGTGGATGATTTTGGGTGTGTGTGTTTGTGTCTTCAGGGAGTTCTGAGGGTCTATATGTGTGTGTGCTTGTTTGTAAAGACTTTCTCGTTTATCGTTAAGGCCCTGCTGGAGACACAGAATGAGCTCCGAACTCATGTACCCAACTTCACTTTCAACCTCGGCTTCTCCGGAAAGTTCTTTCATGCAGGTAAGAAAAATACAGCTGAACTTAAAAAATAGAGGTCCCAAAAGGGTTCTTTGGAGGGATGAACCAATAATGTTTGGTTCTGTAAAGAACCTTTCAGTGCATGGTTGTGCAAAGATCCATTGTTGTAAATATTACTAATTACGGAATACTGAATTTAAAAAAGTGCAATTTTCACATCGCAAGAGCTGCAATTTTTATTATAGCCTGTATTATCAACAGTGTTGTCTTAAGTTTTAAGTGGGGAATTGTAACCTAATAACATTGAGCTTGGGAACTGCATGTAAATGAGTAAAACAGATCAGAAGCTGCCACAGAATCAGAACCGGACCAGAAAAGAACCTTTAAATTAGAAACATATTTTTTATTCTTCTATCACAACACAGGTCTAAATCTGATTCATTGTTATCTGTCATTGTACAGGACAACCACCTAAATTTTGAAAACTAAGAAAAGCTAATCTAAGCATATGCTTTTAAGATTCTTTTTTTAAGGTATTAAGTGGCTCTTTGGTTCTCAGCTCTTCAGGAAGAGAATTCCAGAGCTTTGGGCCTTAATGACTAAATGCAGCCTCTCCACTCCTCAGCCATGTATTAGGGACTTCCAGCATATTGCTACCAGATGACCTAAGTGCCAGAGTAGGAACATATCTGACATTTAAAAGCCAATAAAAGAATTTTGAAATCAATTCAAAAAGACACTTAAACCAATGAAGTAATTGGAGTGCTGGTGTAATGTGGTCCCCCTTTCTCTTGTGGGTCAGGACTCGAGCAGCTGCATTCTGAAGGTATTTGCAGGTATGCGAGCGAGCTTTTGGGTAGGCCAGATAGGAGATCATTACAGTAGTCTAGTCAAGATATAATAAAGGAATGTATAAGTTTCTCACTATCAGCAAGGGTGGAATGTGCCAGACCTTTGAGATGTTATAAAGGTGATAATAAGCTGTTTTGCAGACTGTATTCATGTCTTTAAGCCATGCTCATCATCAAAAAAAAAGAAAAGAAAAAATAATTAATATGCAGTCAGTTCATTTATTTCCAAAGACTTTGTGTGTGACCAAATACTTCACAGTTCAAACTGGGCCAAAGAATAGTTTGCATATATTTCTGTAGAAATGTATAAGAGTAGTGTTAATAATTCCTTAAACCAACACTGAATACTGTATGCAATGTCAGATCTTCAAGAAAGTCCACATAGGTCTGCTTTTGATAAGTAGGGCTTCAAGAATATTATAGAAAGTTGATTACTTACGTTGGCAAACATCCTGGAGGGTGAGTTCTCGCTGGTTATAGTCGTCTATAAAACAGCAAAGATGAAAAACCTTGCTTGATTCTGATGTCCTTTCAACACCATTTTTAAATAAAACTACTACTAATATTACTAATATTTCAGTTTGTAGAAAAACTGTTTCCTTCAAGAACCAAGAAAATCAGTGATTTAGTGCTGTGATAAACTAGAAGTAAACGCTGCTCCTCTGACACAAACCAGCTTGACTGCCACAGACTGTTGTGTCATACCTTTATTTCAGTGATCGGTTCTACGCAGACATGGGATCTAAATTAATGAGTTTTCCATTTTAATTTCACTTTTTTCCACATTAAAATACCACATAAAACATGAATTCTAAGCAGCAGCTTTAGCTTGCTAATTACATCTAAATTTTTGCATCTCTTCCAAGTCTGGCAGCACATGAGTTTATTTTATGGCAGGAGAACTTTACACAGTATCTTTTACAAAAACCCCTAAGGAGTCATCCACTGAAAGGGAACCAAAAGTGGCTCTTCTATAGCTGAGTGTAGAGTGTATCGCTTAATATGAGGAAGAAAATGTTAATGCTCTTCATCTGGCAACCTTGAATTTAAGTGTTTGTGTGTGGTGGGGTCCTCTTTTTCAGGCACTGATGAGGAAGATCTGGGTGATGACCTTCTTCTATCCTACAGTAAAGAGTTCTGGTGGTTCCCGCACATGTGGAGCCACATGCAGCCTCACCTTTTCCATAACCAGTCGGTGCTGGCTGAACAGATGCTGCTCAACCACAAGTTTGCTGAGGTTAGACTGAAAAAGAGAATCCGCTGGTACAGGCTGTTCATCAGCATGCTTGGGGAGATGTATAAGCTTTGTGTATCGTTAGAGGGACCCTATTGTTAACTAGACTCATTTTCCTTATGATTTGTAATGCTTATTTTCTCAATCATGTAGCATAATCTCTCCTCACTGTGAGATTTTCAGTGAACACATTCTGGTCTCATTTGTCTTCACATTCTGCTGTGGCTCAGTTTAAACTTAAAGCGACAAAATTAAATTTACACAATTTCCCCTTACCTCAAGCTACTCAGTCACCCAAGATATGTTTGGTGGATAGACTAACGTGCAGACGCAATTCAAGCTTCAAGCTATCCGCTGTGTCATTTACTGGCTGGATAACTTCATTTAAATTTCACAGATTTGAATGGTTTCAGAGCAACGAAAATTTGCTATGCTCTGTCCCATGGTTTATCTTTAAATGCTTAATTATATTTTATGTGTTTAAGTCTTTGCTGGCATATCTCACCTCAAATACTGCCATTATAGATTATGCAATAAACATTTTTACTTTGGCATGTCCTAGACATGTTATAATTCCACACTGTTGATGGAGCTTTTTTCAGTTAAGCTCCATTTCAAGCATCACTCAGTAGCTCACGTGTGCTTCATAGTGTCAGTATTCTCTATTACGGTAGTTATTTAAGTGCTGATCACGAGAAACACTGAAAAGAACCCCTCTGATCATGTATCTTGAGGGTGTCATGAACCGATCATAAGTTTTTATGCCGGAATTTGTTTTCTTTACAGACATATTGGCGAGGTTTTTATTTATTTAATTAATTAATTAATTAAGTGGTGTATTTAGTGTTTGTGTTTATATACATATGGGTCATTGACATGACATTTTATTTTTTGTGTCCGGGTTCATTATTTTCCCAAAAAATAAATACATGACATATGCAAAATTATTCAACAGTACCTCTAAACAATTATAGTGCATTCATATAAAAAAAAATTCTTTTTGCCTCGAAAGTCTAAAAGTGTCAGGTGGTGCAACAATCTGAATATATATTAAGTAAACTATCAAAAAAGGTAATTTAGTTATAGAAAATTCTAAATAAAGTAGTTGGGCATGATTTTATGTTTGAAAGCTTCAAAATAATGTGTTGCAAAATAATAGAACTTTAAAAGTACTCAACTCATTAAAGAACTATTGTCTACAAGTTCTTAAGCATCAGGTGGCATATATGCATATTCATTAAATACTAATATAAATAAAAATCAAAATATAAAAAAATTAATAAAGGCAGCTGGCTGTCTAGTACAGTGACACGTGCAGTAGCCTTCAAATACAGTGCAAGTGTATGTTATGTACATTGTGAAACTGTGACACAGCTTGGCCAGAATACTAATTATAAATTGGCCAGTTGCTTGTTTGGAGCAAAAATTGTCTGATGCCCCACCCCTACTTCACTTGATTTGAGGTGATTGAGACATAATTAGTGGGTTATAAGCTTCCATTACTTGTTAGCTGTTGTAGCCTTATAGCTCCAGTGCAAAACTAATGAAGCAGACTTCAGACATCAAACAATTCTTGGCTGTTCCCTTACATATTTAAAATTGTGTAGATAAGCTTGTTCTTTTAGCTGAATCTCTAATGCCTTTTACTAATTTCCCTCTCTCAGGAACATGGCATCCCCACCAACATGGGTTACGCTGTGGCTCCTCACCACTCCGGCGTCTACCCCATCCACATGCAGCTGTACGAGGCCTGGAAAAAGGTGTGGGGCATCAAGGTGACCAGCACAGAAGAATATCCCCACCTCAAACCCGCCCGCTTCCGCAGAGGCTTTATCCACAGTGGCATCAGTGTAAGCACACATTCCTCTTACCTCAGAGCAGTCTGTATGACCTAGTTGCACAGCGATTGCACGACACATACAGTGTCAGTATGTGTGTATATACATCTCGCTACTCATTACTGAATGCTGAAAATATACCTACATAACTGCGTATGACTAAAAATGTAAACAGCAGTGTGTACTATAGCATGGTGAATTTAAAGACAAATTCCAGCCAAAACGAAAAATGTAACCATTGCTGCATCTGTTGTGAACATGCATACTCGTCTCCTACAGCGTGCCAAAGTAGTTCAAGAGTGAGATTTTCTGATTTAAAGACTAGGAAATAGGAATGCAGCAGTAGCACCTTTCCCTGCGGATACAAATACCTGATTTTCAAGTATCTACCAATTTTAACTCTGTTTAACCTAACTACTCAATAGGTGCCTGTAAATTCTGATATTTATACCATCCATACCATATGGTTATATGTTGTATTAGTGTAATGCATGCTGGGTGTTATAGTGAAAGAACTCAAGTATTCAAAATCATGAATTCTGTCAAACTGATGAGGCTGAGGGCTGAAATGCTGCACTACAGAATATTACATAAAATGATCAGTCTTAAATGCTAGTTTTAGGCTGGAATGCCCAATTAAAGGGAATTCGAACATTTTTTTCAAATAATAATTTTGCACAATTAAATGGTTAAGATGTAAACAGTTGTTCAGAGTGGTTTGATGTGAAATACTCCACTCTTGAGAAACCTACTGAATCAGAATTGTTTACAGTGGTGGTGATAGGAACCAGATGTCTGTTTAATGTCTTTGACAGCTCCTTCTTGGAAAGTTACTACATGAAATGGTTATAAATACTCTGCCTGATGCCTGGGACAGTGTTTTACAATGACAATGTTTGCGATAAAATTTTGGGCAATTTTTTAATTCATTCATAGCAGAGAGCTACATGCACTGTGTTATACAAAGTAGGCCCAAAATAATGTTTTTTTTTTTTTCCCCTTTACTATTTTACCGTTATTACATATAAAAACTCAGAAGACATGTAGGCTTACTGGTCATTTCGAAAAAGTAAATGGCTGTATTTGGGTGGTAGCACGTAAGTTGTAACCCCTGGTTCCTATCACCACCACTGGTGAGTTAATCTAAAATGCACCATTTCACATCAGACCACTCTAAATGACTTTACGTTTCAATGACTGAGTTATAGAGAATTTTTAAAGATCTGTGAAATTCCCCTTCAAGAGGGCCACACAGTTAAAAAAAAATTAAACAGTAGCCCCAATCTAAAATAATTATGCAGATCTAGCTCCCTTTGAAGATCCTCACAGGTCAAAGTGTTGCATATACTGTCAGTTTTTCTTTTAAAGTGGCTCGGCGTTGAACTCTTATCTGGCTTGGACAGAGCTGTATACAAACCCCTGGCTATTCCATTTACTGTTTGATGTTGGAATCCCAGGAGGAGGTTATGGGCAAACTGTTTATGAAGGCACTAAGTTTTCATTTTTGGTTTGTTTTACCATTTTTGTCTTGCTCCAGGGCACAACATGACGAATAAAGACTATAACAGTAGTCTTGTTTGAGTCATGACAAAGCATTGGGAGTGTGTATGTGAGTGTGTTTGCTTGCTGGCGGGCCTGGGCAGTTAAACGGCGTCTGGGGATTAAAGAAGGATGACTGAACTAAATGGATACCTCTGAGCGCAGGCCTGAAAAGGGAGAGCAAGAGCCAGAGAGAGACGTAACAGTGACCTGAACCTTTCGCAAACAAAGTGTAGTTTTCTCGCTGGAACATTTTCCTAAAGGTTATCCTAACTAATCTGCAATTCAAAATGCCAAGCGACTCACTGTCTATTATGACACTGAGCAATTAGCATAGCAGCCGAGAGCCGCCTGTGATTTTTCTCTGTGCTGCACTATGAACCCTCTTCTTATTACTGCACTGTGGTAGAAATAATATTGATGTCTTTTCCTCATACAGATGTATAGTTTGGGAAGCGCTGAGGCTGGCACATTGAGTCTATGCTATATGTAGCCATTTCTGTTTATTATTTATTTATTTACTTATTTTATTTTTATTTGTTTGTCTATTTATTCTGTCTGGCAGTTGAGTGTGATGTTGTCACAGTGATGTTAATTCCGACCTTAACATGATGGCGAGAAATATTCACAGGGAACTGGGCTGCCTTGTCTCTGAAGTGCAAACATTGATTTTCCCCTCCCTCCCTCTCTTCCTGTTCCCACTTCCCTCTCTCTTTTTTTGCCATAATCAGCATTCTTCTGTGCTCGATTGGATGTTTCACCCTGCGCAGCATTTGTGTTCATATAAGGGGAGAAAAGCAAGGAGCTGGAAAAGGGGGAATTAAGTGGAAAGTGTAGTTAGCCTAAGTGTTAAATAAACATTAAATTTGCACAAATGTTTAAGCAGTATGATCAGCCTCCATCCACTCAGTCTAAGTCCAAGTCCAGCTCTGGTCTCTATACGTTATCTCTGATAGAACGTTTTCATATCCCTTTATTGTGCTTAAGCAACATATTTTGAGGCTGAGGTCACTCAGTTTCCACTCTAGTTTCCAACACGGCCCAGAGCAGCACTTAAATGCTATTGCATATTGTGGCTAACCAAATACGTTTTTTCCACCCTAATTTGTCATGGTGAATGTGGGACACAGAAGCTTCTTTTGTCCAGCATTACAGCTGTGTTTTGCCTGAATTTATACAATTCAGAGCTTGAAGTGGGATGTGTTAGCTCATGTTTTGTGGATTTTTCCATTCTGCTTTAGATGTGGTTTACAGTGCGGGCTTTTCTGCTCCTCAGGTGTTGCCCAGGCAGACCTGCGGCCTCTTCACCCACACCATCTTCTACAACGAGTACCCCGGAAGCCCTAAAGAGCTCGACAAACTCATTAACGGTGGAGAGCTCTTCCTCACTGTGCTTCTCAACCCTGTAAGTCTCAGAATTAAGGAAAAAATCCCTAAAAATCTAATTTGCCCAATTTTCCCTTTACCCCCAATGTAGTCGATCAGCCAAAATTTGTGTATTTGCAGCAGTAGTCAATAATACAGATGTATTAAGTCAAATATATATGTAGACACTCATGTATTAACATTCTTGGCCTGTTTCCCAGACGTAGATTAAGCCTAATCTTAAAGTAAACAATATTTTTTAACAATGAAACACCATTGGTTTTTCAGTCTAGTCCAAGACTATGTTCAATCCATGTCCACAAAACCAGCCAACAGTGTCAGTATATGAGTGTATATTGTCGTTATCCAAAGCATGTGTCTCTGTGTTTTTTCCTTCCAGTTATTACTTTTCTACATCATTTGAGCATGGCAGCTGTCCTTTACATCGTGTGAAAATTCAGGATGAATAATGACTAACAGAAATGCTCCAAAATGTCTTGAAATAAAATCTATTTGCATTAACTTGCATTGAAAGTAAAGAACGCTTTTGCCCTTACACACTACTCTTCAAAGGTTTAGAGTTACTTTGTAATAATTGCTGTTATTTTATTCAGTAATAACTTAAACAGTGCGAATTGAAATTCTATAAGCTAGTCACACTACAAGGTATTTTCATGTTTTATAGAAAATTTCTGGAACATCAAGAAGTTATTCGATAAAAAATGACATACTATAATTATCTATTTATAGTCCTTTCTTTATATTCTTGTTAGCTGCTTCGAGGTTTGAGCACCTTTTTTCTAATGCATTCTGGACATTACTTTTGTTATAACATCAGTCTGTTATCCAGCTTTCTCAGTCATTTTATAATCATTTGCAGCTCTGTCCATCTTTCTGGGCACAACTATTTTTTCAGATTCCTTCAAATTAGTTGAAAAGTTGTAGAATAGTAGCTCCATAATAGAATCATTTTATACATGTACCTGCAACAAAACCAATATAGCGCTGACAACGGTGATTACAATCTTTTAAAGAGCGATTCCAAACTTTTGAATCGTAGTGTGTATGTTGGTTATACATCTCATATTTGACTTAAAATATCTCATTGTTGATGTGCTTTAAGTACATAAATGTATTTAAACGTCTACGGCTGTGTATACCTATGTTAACACCTTTTAAGGTTAATTTAGCAAGTAATAGAAAGTAATGGAAGCGTACAGCTACTGATTAGCATTGTGCAAACTGCCGTAGATCATCACACACTTCCTCAAACCATGTTGAGTTTGAGTTAAGATGGCTGGAACTAGTGTTTTCAGCTGTGCTGTATACTTTTGTCCATTTTTATAGATAACAGTATGTCATACAGTGTCAGCAAGCACATAAGCAAGTCTGTTGGAGATTACTTTAGGCAAGTGTGTGATGATTTAGTCATTCTGTTTGCATGATGCTCATTAGGGAGGTTTAAGCAGGGCTGTTTTGAAACATTTGGGGGCCCTGAGTGAAATACTATTTGTGAGCCCCAATCATATAAAGTTATTTTGAATGCAACAATGAAAATGAATTAATTTTTAAAGGGGAATTCCACCATTCACCGAAATTTTCTGTGGAATAAAATGGTTAAACAGTCTTTTAGACTGGTTTGATTTGAAACATACTATAGAGAAACTTTCCGAGGCAGAACTCTTCGCATTGTGGAATCTGATGCCTTTTATGACAGTTTTAAGATAAGGTTTTGGCTTCAAGAGTGTTGAAAATAGTATCCAAAGTAAGCTTTTTTTTTAACACTGAATATAACTTAAGTTGTCGTTGGATAATAAAATTGCTGCATTTTTGTTGTACACATTGTGACGCATAGTTCTTATCACCACCACTACGAAGAAATCTGCATCAGTTAATTTCTCTAGAATGACCCATTTCACATCAGACCACTAAAACTTTGTTTACATATCAACAACTCAATAATGGTAAAATTTTCAAAATCAAAATTTTGTTTCCCTTTCAGTTTAGTAAATGCTAAAGGAATTATTTTAAAACAATAATTAACGTACAAGAGAAGCAGCATCTTTAGATGGAAAAATTGTCTCTATAATTAAATAACACATTTCAAAAGATGTGTGCGGAATTTCAGATATATTGATAATGGAAAAAATAAATGATGTCTTCAAAAAAATATATATACCTTCACGGAGCCTCTATGTGGCTTGGCTGCCTTTAGTGTGTACTTGTACCACTTACAGCAAGAAACAGCTCTGGGTGGTAAGTAAGTAAGTTTCCAATACTTGTTAGCTACCCTAGCCTTGTATCTCCAAAGCAACCAAAGAAACAAACATGTCTTGGCTGATTTATTGCATTTGGGATAGGAGGAAAATTGTGTAATGTTCATTTTTTGATTCACTGAAATATTGCTTTAGTACACTGTTCTCAGCTTTGCTATGGGAGTAGTAGATAACTTCAACTTTCCACATTTGATCTTTTGAAACTGCAGAATTAGCCCAGCAGTTTCCTTGCAGGACCTTATTTGACGTTTCTCATTCCTCTGACCTCAGATCAGCATCTTCATGACCCACCTCTCCAACTACGGCAACGACCGCTTGGGCCTGTACACATTCAAGAACCTGGTCAAGTTCGTCCAGACGTGGACCAACCTGAAGCTACAGACATTGCCACCCGTGCAGCTGGCCCAGAAATACTTCCAGATTTTTCCTGAGGAGAGGGACCCCATCTGGCAGGTGAGAGAAGGATAGGTCTCTTGATGGAGTTAGAAATGTGTTTTAGGAGGGTTGAGGTAGGGAGCGGTGCTGCTCTAATATGTAGTGCTCACTGGAGGATTTCCTGATGACATTCTCCATGACATGCGCCTTCACTTTGACGAACACCGAGCGAAAATGGCTTTCCATGTCGTTTGCCAGCAAACCCGAGAATGCTATTTCTGAAATCGTATCTTCCGCACTGCCTCGCGCTGCCAGCAGAATTATTGAAACCATAGTCATATCTCTTTCGCTTGCTCTCTCACACACGCAAACGCCTCTCATTCCTCCCCTATTTCAGTTTATCCTACTCCCTTATTTCTTCTTGTCTCCCTTTTTCACTCTGTCTAACTCCCTTGTTTCCTTTCACCCTGGGAAAGAGACAGAGACAGTGACTTAGCCCTAAATCCCTCTTTGATCCCGCTTGTTTCCTGTCAAAGTTGAGGTCCCATCTTTTCACTCTGTTCTCCAGTGTTCCGGAGATCGCTCTGGCTCTGAATAATCTCCTTTCCTTGGCACTTGCTTTCCCAAGACGTCCACAAAATACTTTTTTTGTGAGGATCCAAAACTTTTTTGTATTTGCATGAACATTTGTTCAGTAGAATGTGATGCTCTTTATTATAATTTACCAGCAATAAAAAAAAATGTTTTAAAAAAACAGTAGCTACATTCCTGAAACCTGATTGGCTGAGACACTTTTGACGCCACAGATGTACAGAGGCATGACCACACACATCAAAGACACTGTATTCGTCTGTTTCGATCATGTGACTTTTTTGTGCAGCGACTGGATCAACGACATACTCCTGCGTCTCTTTGAGAGCGATGGTGGAGAGTTGAAGAAAAGTGAATACCAGTACTAAATAAACAACATGTTCAAACAGCAAAAAATAATTGGTCTGCCCAAAACTGCCCAACACATGGGAGACCCAAGTTTTTTCTCATTGAGAAGAAGAAATCAATAAAAATACTTTTGCAGGACTCCTCGCACTACACTGGTGTACCCTTTTAAAATTGTATAGATAAGAACATCCGCTAAAAATCTAAATGTAATGTTTATAGACTTGTTGTACACAGTCCTTCCCCGTGCTCTGTGAAAGCCTGTGAAAACGTTAATTAAAATAGACGACTGACGCCGCTGCGGATACTTCTCGTCCTAAAATCTGTTCGTCTGAGCCGCGTTCTAAGCAGTTTCAAAATACTGAATATACACACTCCTATAATCTCCTTACTACATCTGAATTCACTGTTTGTGCACAAGGTCATTAAAAACCTTGCTGTGACTGAACTGTTATGCTGCTCTCGTAGACCACTGACTGTGATGACTAATAAAGTAAGAGCCTGCTTTTGTTTCAGCTGAGGGTCTTAACAACTAGGCTAAAAGTTAGCTAACAGGATAAACACCTTCTCCATTATTATTCAGTGTTAGACTTTGAATTGAAGTATTTACTGAATGTTTATCAGTAAAACTGCAATATAAAAAGTAAAGAACATGTTACTCGAATTACATGGTCTTACATGCTTCAAATGTTTGGGTTTTTGGAAGATCTACCTTAACTAGTATTAAACCCATTGTGAAAAAACAAATATGTGGAACTGTTAGCTTTATGCTAACACAATATAGGAAATCACACAAAACTATTAGTCATCGTAATAATGTGGTGAGCAAAGTCTACTTATCAGGCAAAGGATCCTGCAGTAAACACTGCTGTATTACGATAATTTCATTGTTATATGACAAAAAATGAAATTAAATGACTGCAATATACTGGCAGCTGTGATAGGTGACTAGAAGTTCTTGTACTCCTTGTCAGCAGTCCATGGTTGCTTGTCAACAGTAGCCTACTCTAAATATATAGCTTATTGTAAATAAAACTACATTTCTTGGTGGAAGAAGTTTATATGATTATTATTAATATTAACTAAAGTTAAATAATTTATTGTATGTTGTCCCATTGAAATCAATAAGCGTATATATTGTGTTGTATTACACCCCTTACCTCTGATAAAATCACAGTAACGCAAAGCCTCTCATGATTTACTGCTTTATTTTATTAATATATTAAAAAATTAATGGAAGATTGGTGTATTTGATCAGTTTTTAAAGGCAAGAAGCCACTCGAGGTATATTGTTTTTATGAACTGGCTTTAAAATACATGATAAAATGCATGTTTCAGTGATTTTGCCGCCTTAAGCGCGGTAATATCACTGTAATGCACAATCTTGAGCGGGTTATTGCTTTAACAGACGGCGTTTGCAGTCTGAGCGTGTCTCGCTTTAACAGTGGTGTGTATTGAAGCAGCACTGTTATTAGTCCAGCGGTGCTGGCGATAACGGTTAATCTCCTCAATACAGCAGACAGATGTTGAACGTGAAGGAGGCCTATCCTATGCATGGCCATCGTGTTGATCTGCCCATGCAGCATTAGCAGTAGATTACATTACTGCCCATTAATCTGCACACCTCAGTCCAGATGTGCCCACTTTAGCTGCAAAGAGTGCAGGTCAAGCCTGCGGATCATTAGAGATTACGACTCCTGTCTGTCCATGATGAATGAGATCCTTGAAGCGACTGCCTCCGAGCTCCTAACACTCAAGGCCACGTAAAGCTGTCAATGTCTGGATTCTGTGTTTTGGTCTTGATTATAAATCTAGTAAGGCTGTATTTTCAGGGATGTTGTTCCAGCCCGTAAGAAGCTAACCTTGTGTTTATATAGGCTGCCTTAATAAGATGCTCTTCAGCATGTTTGAAGATGTGAGGTGTTCGATTTGTTTATTTTGATTTCCACATGTAACAGCCGCCCTGTTTTCCCACCCGCCGATAGAATTGTTGCATACAGCCAAAAGGCGGAGAAAAAGTGGTGGCTGTTATACTGTTAACAGCAATAACTCCTGGTTAACAGCAATAACTCTGCAGGCCAGCTCTGTGGTTTATTGAACTTTAATGATAGGCTGTCCCCTGCCAGATATGAGCTCCGAAAGATTTAAACGGCTGCCTATTTGGATTGTAAATGCACCCGCGTGCGCATGACTAATGCTCTGTATTGGCTTGTGCCTCAGTTTGTTGTGGTTTTGTTAAGTGATTTTGTCTCGAGGCTGCAGTCTAAGTGGTGCCTATGCCACCCTATAAACTTCCTGTCTGCCTGTCTCTCCAACAGGACCCCTGCGAGGACAAAAGACACAAAGACATTTGGTCAAAAGAGAAAACCTGTGACCGCTTTCCTAAGCTGCTCATCATAGGCCCACAGAAGACTGGTGAGTCTGACCCTCCACCTATTCAGTGCACTCTTCAAGCAGGCATACATTAGCGCCCTCTAGCTGTCACTGGCCACCGCCAATTCTCAGCCACATTGTTGGAACAATGCTTCAACTGTTTTAAGTCCTCATAGCCAAGACCAGCACTGTATCCCAGCAGATTCCAGCAGCTCTGCACCTGTGAATCAGCAGATTAAACCTCTGATTGGCCAGAGAGCAGCTTGGGAGGTTTGGAGCTATGTTTTACCATTGTTGGGTTGCACACGTGGCAGTGACTTAGTCATTTATGGCATGTCAGCCAGCAGTTTTATTTCATTTACTGGATCAGTGCAGAAGCAGGCAGGCAGTCAGTCTCAAGGCCTTTTTACTGCAACTTTCACTGCTCCCCGGTAAATGGGAATTCCAGGTTTACTGCGTCGACTAATTAAACTTCTAAAAGATGTCTTAAGGGAGCAATAGCCCACTCTCTGAGCGAGTAGTAAAATGTCTGTGTTAATCTTTTCAATAAAAGCCGGATTAAGGGGTTGGGCCTGGAAATGAGTTAAGAGTTTTTTTTTTCTTCTTTTCTTAAAACACTTTGTAATTACCTCAGTTTCTTGGCTAGGCTATTAGATGCTCTCATAAGACAAAGCTGTTTTGTATTTTTTGAACCATCTTTCTCCTAATCACAAGGGCTTTCCCTATCTCTGTGATCAAATCAAAAATCAAATAGGAGTAACCAAAAAATGCCTTTCACATTCTGTAGTAAAACATTCTAGGAAATTATCTGTGCTGCCCCTTCACACCTGGCTGTTGGTGTATATCTGTTCTGTATGTTCCAAATCTGGACCATGAACTCTTTTTATCTGACTTTGTTCCAGGAACGACAGCGCTCTATCTGTTCCTGGGTATGCATCCTGACCTGACCAGTAATTATCCAAGTAAGGAGACTTTTGAGGAGATCCAGTTCTTCAACGGTCGTAATTACCACAAGGGCATTGACTGGTATGTGTCTAACATCTCTCACTCTCTCTTGCTCATTCTCTCTCTCTCTCTCTCTCATTACCACAGAATGTCTCCCCCTCCCATTTTCAGTGCTTGCCTCTTCAAGGCAGCACGCCTGAGTTATATTCAATAGTGCCTGTAAACCACTACAAATTACACAGATAGTGAAACTTTGGCATGCTTTGGAGTCCAGCACATTAAACACAGTGAAAGCTAACGTTCCCTTGAAAAGAAGCAATTTGTGCCGTTTCAAAACATGCAGCCCTTTCACCACAACTCTCCTTCTGTCAGATAAAAGTGTAGCTTAACAATAAGCAGGTGTATAAGATCACAGACAAGCACTACCTTACTCCTTATCAGTTTCTGTCAGTGTGGGGAAAAACAGCAGTGGTAACAGGAGCGTCGTGAGTAGCTTGAACAGGAATGTTTGCTTTACAAAGCTTAGTGTTGTTTACAGTGTTAAAAAGCCCCCTCGTGGTGAGACACGAAGCAAGGAAACGCCACGGCAGGCCCTTCACAGGTGTTCGGGCACCTACCCAGACAAGCTGCCGTTCTGCCTAATGACCTCTAGCCATCATGAGGCCATGTAATAGCTGCACAACACTCTTAACACTCTTCCTGTAGAGGTGCGAAAACTGTATTTAGGAGGTGAAAGGAAAGAAAAACAGCACCTGTGCAGTGTTCACCTAGTTTTCCTTAACTGTTATACACAGGAAATTCCTTTCACATGTAAGTGTTGATATTGGAATAGGCTGCATGTTGTTGAATGATTACTTTTCACTCCATAATAATATATTTTCTTCTGTCAGGTATATGGAGCATTTCCCTTTGCCCTCCAACACTAGCTCAGATTTCTACTTTGAAAAGAGCGCTAACTACTTTGACTCAGAGGTCACAGCCCGGCGAGCGGCAGCCCTTCTTCCCAAAGCCAAGATCATCACAATCCTCATCAATCCAGCCGACAGAGCCTACTCCTGGTACCAGGTCAGTCTTTCTAGACACAGAGTTATATTACTGACAGTACTGTGCAAAAGTCAGCAATCACCCTTTATGTATTTAATTTCCACTCAAGACAATTATTAAGTACTAAGTTATTCATTTTTCAACTTTAGGAAGAAATCTGAAAACATATATTTAACAGAAAATTCTCAGAAGCCTTAACAACTAAATATAATATCAGATTTCTTCAGTATTTGGTGTTTCCACTGTTGGTTTTATTACAGCTTCCATTCTTTTCATGAGGCTTGCTTTTAGTTTTTTTAAAGAAATCTGCAATGATATTTTTCCACATGTCCAAAAGTTCAGTCTTAGTTTCATTCAGTCTTGGTTGCATTTTCTGTTTCTCACAAAGCAAGTAATCCCATTTTCAAATCTAGACTCATCCATAAAACATCATAAAAACATCAATCCACATCTTAAATTTAGTGCATTTTTTTCTTTTTGTCTCTTTCATTTTTTTTAAGTAGCAGCTTTTTGTCTTCTCTTTTTTTTTTACTTTCACCTTCATTTTGCAAATGAATTGTCTTATAGTTAAGCTTGTAGTTAGTATTTTGTTACTTATTCCTAATGGCTGACTTTTGCACAGTATTGTACATGTAGTGTATGCACAGTAAAATGCTGTAGCTTGTGATGTATGAGCATGTAACCCTAAATAGTGATGAGTGGTGTGTTTGTTTGTTGGCTAGGGCTGGGTGTTGCTGAATAGCTCACAATATGATACTTTTACATGTGCCACAGTTTATACTACAGAGCGTCTTGATTTCGCTGCACTGGTTCTGGACTGGTTTAATCTCTGTGGCGAATGTGAAGCCAATGCCAAACCAGTTGTAGAAGCTGTAGAAAAGGCCTTGTGAGATTTGAAGGTGTTTCATAGCTGCTGCCATCTATAGGCATTAAGGAGGTACTTCATACACACTGGTTGAACTATAGGAACAGTTATTAAAACTCAGATAAAAATGAAAAGATTTAGATGCATGGGTTTAAAGTATTGATGCAAAGTAATAAAAAATAGTATTATAATAGTATTAAATAGTATTATAATTCACTGATTAATCGTGGTCTCAGCACAGCTCAGTTACTGAATGCACTGCTATTTCTTCTGTGTTCCAGCACCAGAGGGCTCATGACGACCCTGTAGCCCAGAAGTACACCTTCCATGATGTCATAACCGCTGGCCGCGACGCCCCCATCAAACTAAAGGTGCTTCAGAGTCGCTGTCTGGTGCCTGGGCTGTACGCCACCCACCTCCAGCGATGGCTCAACCACTACCATCCCAGCCAGGTGAGCGTGTGAATTGTTGTTTGTGTTTATGTCTTGATTCATGAATTCTGCCATGCTTATCTAAATCTGTTTCCTTAGATCCTGGTTTTGGATGGTCAGATGCTGCGGACAGAGCCTGCTTCAGTCATGGATAAGATCCAGAAGTTTCTTGGCCTCACGAACGCGCTCAACTACCACAAGATCCTCGCGTGAGTCTCTCGACTTGTCTATCTGACAGCTTCGCCTCAAACATGCTCATCAAGTTTCCTTCATTTTCCCATTCCTCTTTGATGATTCACAATTAAAACCGACTTTAGGGCAGTAATTACTGGTTTATTTATTATTGAGCACCTGGGGTGTTAGGTGTTTGTTTTTTTAAACAGCTTTGATGTGTTTTGCTGTAATCTGGTCCTGATGGATTCCCTTTCTCTTGTTTGACAGGATCAGGAGAGTACTTGCTGATTCTCTTTCATTTCTTTCACTAACATACAGACCTATTTTCATATTTCTTTGTCTCTGTGTCTCTCTCTCTCTCTCTTGCACGCTTTCGCTCTCTCTTCCCTGCTCTGTCTCTTTCTCATTCTTTCATGCCTGACCACATAATCACTACACCCAGCTCATAAGCAGCAACATCTGTTAGCCACATCCCCCAGTGGACAATGGGCACGGTTTTGTCCCTATGCCTTTTTTTCCAAACAGACCTAGCTGCACACCATCTGTTTGCCATACTCTGCTGTTATTAGGCTGATGTGGAAGCTGCTTCTTCTAATTTCTGCTGACCTGCCTCCATTTTGTTTCCCCCTCCTCTCCTTTCCCCTGTACTGCAGGTTTGATCCTAAGAAGGGCTTCTGGTGCCAGCTGCTGGATGGGGGGAAGACTAAATGCCTGGGGAAAAGCAAGGGGAGGCGGTATCCTGACATGGATGTGGATGTGAGTGTGGAGCGTAATTCTTGGTTCAGGAACGCTGTTCATGAGGCTGCATGGCACCTAAATAAGCACTTCACTTCATGACTACTGACTTAGACACTTAGGTGTCATTTGTCATAAAGGTTGCGTTTGCCAACTGTGATGTCAAGTTGACATAAAATCTGTGTCTTGTGACGTTGTGTCTTGTTGACAATAGGTTGCCATGACACTTTCTAAGGCAAAATTAGTGTTGTAGTACTCAGTTCTTGTCTCTATCTTGTCTCGATTTCACATCATTTTGTCTCAGTCTTGTCTCAGTCTCAGGGGTAATCTGGGCTCAGAAATTGTTCTGGAGACCTGCTAAGTGCGGAGCCTCCACCTGAGGTCACTGAACTGAACTTTTTTCTGTCATTACTGAATATTAACGAAATCTTCAAACAGAATAAAGCAGACCTTTCTGTACACATTTAAATAAAATCGTTTCACTGCCGTTGAGAATCTAATAGATCATTTTCGTGATGGCTTAAATCGATATTATTTGTTTGTTGAGGATCATTGGTTTTAATATTCATAAATTCCAGCAGATCGGAAATGTTATTATATTATATTTTACATAATATAAAATATAATGTTATTTATTAATAAATATCCTGTATAATGAGCAATAATGATTATATGGTACCCCTTTACTGTAGGGTAATGTTCATAAGGCTACATGACTCCTACATAAGCTTGTCATGTCAACTAACATAACCATACATAAACATTTGTAAAGGCTTATTTCAATGCATGTTGTCTGTCATGAAGGCTGCTTTTGTCACCTTTGATGTCACGTTGTTGGTATAAATGGTCAAATGAAACTCAATTTCCTCAAGGGCCTCAGAAAATGCTCATTTTTGTTCAGCTAGACTTGGCAAACTGTCATATCAGCATCCTGTCAGTGTAACATACGCTGAGCTAAAAAGTCTGTCATTTCATCTACAGTTGTAGTCAAGTTAATTAGAAGTGAGTTCAAGTCAAGACTGAGACCTGGACACATCAAGTCAAGACCAAGACTTTGTGGCAGTCGAGTTTCGAGGCAAGACTGAGACAAGATAGAGACAATATTAAGATTTTTTCTGAATATATAAATGAAAATAAAGGGGAAAACCTTACATTTGTTCATGCATAAGCACTGACTAACACATTTATAAAGCAATGCTTGAATATTTATGAAATGTTTAGTTAATATTTATAAACCGCTTGCCCCAGTACTCGTAACATGACATAAGATGTTTTATGAAATTAAAGATATTGTATTGACATAAGGGGCTTTTTTTTCCATTTATAACACTCTTGTAAAGCATTATAAGGCGAAATGCGTAGCCCCTAATATGATCATTGTCATTGATATTTTTCCCTTATAGATGTTATTTTGATGAACAGGTTCTATTATGGAGTCAATATGTCTGGTGATGACTTGGGAATGATTACTTGTTACTGATGCTTCATAATAGTGTTATAAATGGTACAAAGGTCTGTCACTTTAGTTTAAGGCCTCTAATGTCAATACAATGTCATTTACTTTATAAAACATTTTGTCATCTTGCGAGTACTGGCATGAGCTGTTAATAAATACTTAGTATTGCTTTAATACTTAGTATTTGCATTTGTTATTTAATACTTATGCATGTGCCATGAAGTGCTTATGTAGGTAGCCTTCAAATAAAGTTGGGACCTAATCCATTTTATCAGATTTGACCTAAGATGTACTTTGTGTAGCGCACACTTTATTCACATCGATGTGTAGTCAGATCGATTTAGAGTGCTGACAGGACCGTGTCTACCACCTCCCTCAAACAGAGCTTTAGCAAGTGCCAGGTAGGACTACTGTCCTGCATGTCCTTTACAGAGTCTGACACAGAGCAGCACTGTAGTGTGTTGAGGTCCTTGACATTACCTTAAGGCTTCTTGGCAGACACATCAAAGTTAATGAGGGGTGGAAGGACAGGCTGATGTGTCCTGGCTGTGCAGCAGCGCTGTGAGTGGCAGCGCTCCTCCAAGCCAAAGCTACAGACTGTCTGGCTCAGTCCAGACACACAGACACACACACACACACAACCGGCTACCAGCAGCTGGCTTCTCCTGGCAATGGCATAATACCTTCTTTTGAAATGAAGCCATCAAAAACATGTGCTGTAATCATCTGAAAAATGATAGCCCTTTGATCATTTCTGATAGGTAGATAATGGTAGTTTCTAATGTGAATGTCTGAAACTGAAACAGCATTTATTGCATTTGAATAACGGTCAGACGATTAAACTTTTATTTTTATCATCTTAAATCAGAATCTTCTTCAATTAAAATGTGTTCTTGTCTGAATCTTCTTAAGGCAAGACACTGCCTGTAAATAGGGCATTTTTAACATAATTGATAGTCTAATAAATCTTTTTGGTAGGATTGGATGTTTTGCATTTACATTACCATTTAATATGCAAATGAGATGTCATCTAATCAAATATGCATACATTTGCATGTTTTTAAAAACCAGAAAGTTAACCTTTGGAGCATGTTAAAATACTGTGTGTGTGTGTATATATATATATATATATATATATATATATATATATATATAAAATATGTGTGTGTATATAGGTATGAACATGAACAATTTCATGAATGCAGATGTTCTAGAAGTGAGAGAACTGCATTTAAAACATGCATAATTTGTGAGAGTTTTGTAATAAGTACACAGGGAATAGACATACATGGATCATATCTAGTACGATTCTGTTGTGTTTTGACTTTTTATGGTTACAGTTTATGGGAACACATGTTGTAGATTTAATTTATCCAAAATCTGAAAATGATTGCACTAAAAATCATAGTTTCTACCTGTAGTGTCTTGCCTTAAATGACCACTGTGCACAGAACCTGATTTCATTTCTGTTCCCCCCAACAGTCGCGCAGCTTCCTGAGAGAGCACTACCGCGATCACAACATCGAGCTGTCCAAGCTGCTGTATAAGATGGGCCAGCCGCTGCCCAGCTGGCTGCGAGAGGAGCTGCTCCACAGCAGGTAGCCAGAAAAGGGCGCAGGGTGCAACACTAAGGACACACTCTCACTCCTCCCTGCGCTCCAGAGGGCACGCTACCTCTCCACCCCGGCCCCCTCCCCACACAGAATCTCAGCTACTGTACCTGGATAAGCGAGGGCAGCCCACGAAGGCTCTCCAGCGTGAGAGGGTCTGGGCTCCAGGAGAAGAGAAATGGAGAGGAAAAGCGGGGTGCCACAAGGATGACCCTTTGGTACTTTTGTGTTTTGCTCTTCGGGAGGGCAAGAGTGCCCAGGAATGTTTGTCGGTACGCACACACAGTGGAAGCTTCTAAAGACTTCTTTTCTTTCTTTTAAATACACTCTTCCTGATTGTATGTGTGTGCGTAAGAGTTCAGCTCTACGTCATGACTCATAGACACCCTTACACACGATTTCAGAGAAGACATGAAGAGGTAAGAGATTTTATAAATAAAAATAAAAATTGTGCCAGTTTGGACAGCACACAGGCCAATAAAGGATGAACAAGTGCCAGGGTGGAACCTTCAACTCAGTTTTTTTTTTGTTGTTGTTTTGTTTTGTTTGTTTTTGGTCAACTGTTTTAAGCATTCTTTCATGTACACTTCATGCTGTGTTGCAAACAATGTAGGGGGCAGAGTAGCCCCCTTTTTTTTCTTTTAAATTGAGCCCACTCATTACACCTACCCACTAAGATGAAATGTGACATAGTGACAATTCATTATGATATATTTATGGCTTTTAGTTGCAAATCATGGTACTTTAAAAAATACAAACAAATAAGCTACATCCAGAATAAATGTGAGTGTAAATATGGACATGTAGAGTACCTGGGTATCCTGATATGTGCAGTAATTGCCTTAATGCAACTTTATGAAATCTGTTACTTTTAATTTGTCTATGATATCCTTGACCAGAAGTGTTTTGATATGCCTTGAGGGGATGGTCTCTTCATAAGTCCAAAGATGATCAACATCTTTAGCATTTCATTACCGGTCCCAGTGGAGAAGTAGCCAGTGTTTCACAATAGTATTACTGGACAGTTAATGATGTAACGCCCCTTTTCATTATAAGTTAGAATTTCTAAGAATGTTTGTATATTATTTGTCACAAATGATTGTCCTAGCATTTCATAACATCACATCATATGTGAATGGTTTGAGTTGGTCATTGGGATGTATTAAAGAATGTATTGCTTCCTTTGGGAGAGACACTGGCATTTGAGGGCTGTCTCATTGAAATGATTTTTATTTAGCGATTATGGACTGCTAATACAGCATGTAAATTACACCCATGAATGTAAGCATGGATATTTTATTAAAGGTATGATGCCTTTTTAGTGGCAATCAAAGTAGGCAGTGGAAACATACAGCTCCTGTTCATAGTGTTGAAGTTGGGTAGCCGTTTTTTGCTGCTGTATTTACAGTAATGAAAAACTTCAGTCCTTTTTTGTTTTGTTTTCGTTTTTGTTTTTTTTTTTCTTTTACTGTCCTCCTTTGATTTGGATATATTCTCAGCTTTGTTCAGTTGGAGTTTTAGATTTTTATGGACTTCATCCTCCACTGCCACACTCAGTCATTTAGAGCTTGTGGCATCTGTGACCTAATTTCAAGCAGCCTCTATCTCAGTGCCCCTCTAACCTATACTGCAATACGTTCTCAGACCTGACGAGCAAAAACATGTTTATATTCTGTATGCCTTTGGATCCAAAAGATTTTTGTGTGCCATTTGTGCGTACAAAAATCTTCTTTCTGAGGCGGCAAAAACCACCTCTTATCTTAGAGCATCTCATTTCTGTTTGCTGATGGTTGTCAGCATAGCTTATGGTTCCAAAACATCTTATCATCTTTTCTTTGCATTTGCTTAAAGGTAGACTGAAATGGGTTTTTTAATGAGTCAAAGATCTGAAGGCATATTTGTCCATAATTGTCCTGAAGAAGAGTGCTGACTTTGTTTTTGTCACATTTTGTCAAATGAGGAGCTGATCCCAGCAATCTCAGCTGCTTGATACAGTAATATTCCTGTGTTTCGAATGAAGTTTCAGTAAGAAAGTAAGGATAATGTGCTGATTTCACAGCATGGCAATATTTTCCACTTGGAGTCTTTAGTCATTCTTTTAGAAGCAACAGTATTTCTCATTGTATTTTTTTGAAAACTGTATCTGTACAAACTGGCTCTTTGTTTATCTCAGAGCATGATGCTTGAAAAGCACAATGTTTTTCTTTTTTCATTCTTTGACCAAGGATTCTAGGAGATAATTACATACCTCCTGTTAAATGTATTCTTTATCAAGCAGGTTTTGCATCAGTCCACAATTTTTAGGATTCACAGAAGATTTTGTACTAGCACTCTTTAGTGGAGTCTGTTGGGCCCTTGTTGGAAGCGCATGTCTGTGGTACTGACCCATGCACCTTATATGTACTGTCTAGTTCTCAGTTTACACTCTTGAAGATGAAGGTTCCTAAATGGTTCTGTGTTTGGATGAACAGTTTTAGGAAAAAAGAAGGTTTGTCACACTTATGTGTCTCATTTACAGCCCTTTGCGAAAGTCAGAGACCACCCTTTATTTCATTTCCAGTCAAAATGGCCATTAAGGAAAGAAAAAATTACACAGAAGCCCCAACAGCTAAATATACTATCAACTGTGTCCACCCTTCACCTTTATTACAGCATCCATTCTCTTCAGGAGACTTGCTTGCAGTTTTCAAAGAAATCTACAACAATAGTCTTCCAAAATTCATTGTTAGAAGTTGGTTGCATTTTCTGCATTTCACAATCGGTCATCCTTAATACTTTCAGTGATGTTGAGATCTGGTCTCTGGGGTGGTCAGTCCATTGTTCTGAGAATATCAGCGGCTTCTTTTTGATTCTTTTTTGCAAGTTTTCTTCTTTGTCAGTTCTTGAACTCTAGTTGTGGAAACTCCTGTTTTGTTTTTGTTTTGTTCTTTTGCTTTTGACTAATCTCTGATAATAATATCTCAAGGAAATTAATAACTTGTATTTTAATGACTGTTTTGGGTATTAAAAAATGTAGGGTGGTCTCAAACTCTGATCAGTACTGTATGTTAATGGCTCTTCCAAGAGCCATTGAAAGGTCCTTTAAGGAACCAAAGTGGTTATTTTATAGCATCAGCTTCAAAGAATCCTTTTTGACACCTTTGTTTTTAAGAGTGTAGTTACAAAATGACACAGACAACACCTTCATGCTGCTCACTTATCAGTCATATTGTCAACAATAACACTTTGATTTGTCATGATTTAGTATTTCTAACGGCACCCTAACTGACAACTGTAATAACAATGCAATATGATCTTTCCTGGTTAAATGGGAAGTTTTGCACCAAGCACAAATAATGTTTATTTAAGCTTTCTTTGTGGAGAGGATGTTTGTTGTGGGCCAGAAGAATAGAAACGGAGAGAGAGTGAAGAGACTATGGACTATGAAGTTCTCTTCTTTTTGGGTTCCTTAATTTTCACCACACACACACACACACACACACACACACACACACATACACACACAGTGGTCCCCATGAAATTCACACTGCCGATATTGTGCTTTCTGTATCATAATGTAGGATATCAATAGATAGTGATCTAATGAAATAACTGTAAGGAAAATAATCATCTGGACTGTACAATCAAACCTATCGTTGTTAATATTTTTTATTGTTGGTAGCCAATATTTTTGTGATTAATTTGCAAATAAAGAAACCACTGTCTTTTTAGTTTGTTCTTTATTATTATTTGCATGTACAGAAACTGTGGAGTGACATTAAGCCACGTTCTCTCGAACACTTCATTGCAAGCATGGTTAAAGAACAACACATTGCTGCCTATATATGGCTAATAATAGGACACACTGCAGTGTGGGAGGAGTCATGCATGTGTGAGATACTTAGTAAGATAAATGTATCAAGCTGGAATGAAATTAGAACCCTACTGAGCCACATTATGAGCTACTTAGTTGTCCATGGAGAGCAGAATAACTAATGAAATGGTAATAGATCAATTAGCTTCTATTAAAATTTGAATATTCTCTAAGCACACAACTCTGTGTGTGTGCACTTCCTGTCCAAAGTTTAGGACACCCAACTTTTCAAGTGAGGTTTATTTTGAAGGAAAAAAATATCACACATGTAATTATTAATTCAGTGCCCTCCACAAATACTGGTGCCCCTGGTAAACATGAGCAAAACATGCTGTAAAAAAAACATTTTCTTTTTTTATTTTTCATTCAAAATATTAACAGAAATCTATTGATTTGATTTAAAAAAATTAAATCTTATCAGGAGTTTTTTGGCTCAAATCTATGTGTGCCACAATTATTGGCACCCCTTCATTTAATACTTTGTACAGCCTCCAGCAAAGATAACAGCTCTTAATCTTCTCCTGTAATGCCTAATGAGACTGGAGAACACATAGTAAGGGATCTAAGACCATTCCTCCATACAGAACTTCTCCAGAACCTTCAGATTCTAAGGTCCAGATTGTGGACTCTCCTCTTCAGCTCATTCCACAGTTTTTCTATGGGGTTTAGGTTGGGGGACTAGGGTGGCCATGACAAAACCTTAATTCTTCTGTCTGTGAACCATTTCGTGTTGATCTGCTGGAAGATCCAAATTATGGCCTAGTTTAAGCTTCCTGGCTGAGGCAATCAGGTTTTGATTTTATTTCTGTTGGGACTTAATGATACCATGTATCCAAATAAATTAACCAGGGACTTTGAAAGAAAAATAGCCCCACAGTATCACAGACCCACCACCATACATCACAATGAGGATGGGGTACTTGCCTGCATGGCTATCTTTGTGTCCAGGCTAAACTCACCTCTGCTGTTTGTTGCCAAAACCTATATTTTGGCCTCATCTGACCACAAAATAAGGTCCCACTGAAAGTTCTGTGCATTGCTTGATAAACTGAGGAGCTTGAGTTTGTTGGTTCAGGACAGCACAGGCCTCCTTCTGGCAACCCTCCCGAACAGCTTGTGGTCCTAGACAAACGTAAAAATTATGGTTCTTCAAGGGTTCTTTAGTATAGAAAATGGTTCTATATAGAACCATGAACACTCAAAGAACCCTTTGCATGATTAAAGGGTTCTTTGCATCATGAAAGGGTTCTTCACATTGATGGAGAATGTGCTGTTGATGGTTCTATATAGAACCTTTTTGAAAAGGGTTCTTCTATTGTAACAACCTTGACATTGTAACAATAGAAGAACCTTTTTTGGTGTAGAAGCCCCACCTTTTCACTCTGAAGTTATAAGGAGTGGTTCAATACTGGCTGCTTTTGAATTAGATTCAACACAGGGCAGCAAATCAGGACAGAGGT